CCCAGCTGCTAACATCTGGAGAACCTCAGGTTCCTTGAGGTCTTCCTAAGGCCAAGTTCTGGATAGTCCTCCATTTTGTTCTAGCAGTGGCAAATTGGATACTCTTCCATTTTGTTCTGGATAGTCCTCCATTTTGTTCTAGCTATGGCAAATTGGATACTCCTCCATTTTGTTCCGGATAGTCCTCCATTTTGTTCTACCAGTGGCAAATTGGACCAATGTCGTCTTGTTTGTTTCCACTAGAAGTAGTCCTCTACTTACAACCATTCATTTAGCAATGTTTAAAGTCACAGTGGCACTGAAAATAAGTGACTTGCGATCGTTTTTCACACTTACGACCGTTGCAGCATGCCCCTGGTCACGTAACTGAAATTCAGATGCTTGGCAACTGACTCATACTTATGACGGATGCAGTGTCCTGGGATCCTGCTATCTCCCTTTTGGGACCTTCTGACAAGCAAAGTTGATGGGGAAGCCAGATTCACTGAACAACCGTGTTACCACTAAATTAAGAACTGCAGTGATTCACTTAACAACTGTGGCCAGAAAAGCTGTAAAATGGCCTGACTTGTATAGCAATGGAACCTCCGGGCTCAGCTGAGGACTACCTGTATTTGATTTTTAGGTATCCGGGCCCTGAACATGGAGAATTATGTTATGTTTAATAACCACCTTTGGGCTCTCTCTCTGTTATATTGGACAATTTCCTTGGAATGGATCTATAGCCATTACATAGGTGAAGTTGATTTTTGCCCTTTTAATCCTCATGCCTGTCTACGTACGGGACCACCTCTGCCCTATTGTCTCTACCTGTAATGGTAGGTGAGAATGGCCTTGAGCGACAGGGCAAAGAAAGGCTGCCTAGGAAACGGTCAGATAAGAGAGGGCACAGCCCACAGCTGCATAATGGGTGGAGAAAGGTTCAGAAGGGATCCAGCCTGGTTTCCCGGAGCTGTTAAGGAAACGGCAGGAGAATTGTACTTTTCAGACTTGCAAGTTTCTAGTAATGTTAACGACACAGGTGGTCCTCGAGTTACAACCACGATTGAGCCCAAAACTTCTGCTGCCAAGTGAGACATTTGTTAAAGTGAGTTTTGCCCCATTTTACACATTTCTTCTTATTTCTAGGTCGGTTCTCTCCATTTTACGACCTTTGTTGCCACAGTTGTTAAGTTGATACCACGGTTGTTAACTGAATCTGGCTTCCCCCATTGACTTTGCTTGTCAGAAGTCACACAAAAGGTGATCAAATGACACCATCACCCCCTTTCCAGGACCCTGCAGACGTCGTAAATATGAGCGGGTTGCCAAGCATCTGAATTCCGATCACGTGATCGTGAGGATGCTACAACGGTCATAAGTACGGCCAAATGGTCATAAGTCACTTTTTTCCGGTGGCGTTGTAACTTTGAACGGTCATTAAATGAACTGTTGTAAGTCGAGGACAACCCAAGTCTCTAGAATTTTAAGAACCAAAGAAGAAGAGAAAATGCTCCTATAAGACCAGGGAGAAATCTGAGCATCTGGGTTTAAAGGAAAAAAACAAAACAGTTGTTTCAGAAAGAAAAAAGATAATGGAGTTTGTGGTTTTTGATCATGTCCCAAATGCAGATACACATACATACATGAATCTTGAGAAAATATACATCAATCCTAACATAAAGTGAAAACATTATTATTATTATTATTATTATTATTATTATTATTATTATTATTATTATTATTATTATTATTATTATTATTATTATTATTATTATTATTATTATTATTATTATTAACACCACCCTCAGCCTGTTTGCTAAATCCCAAGATACAAGTAACCCGGGATATGATTGTGGTTCTTTTTTTTCTCCACAACAGGAATATGAAAAGGCTCTGAAGTACATCCGGGGCCTGTTGAAGACTGAGCCAAGCAACACACAAGCCTTGGAGATGGAAAAACTGATCAAGAAAGCCATGCAGAAAGGTTAGGGGGGCAGAGATGGGGTAGAGACAGCTAGGCCTTTTTTTACCTCAGTTCAACTGCACTGGATCCCAGCCCAAAGAACAACGGCTAATGCAGGGGTAGTCAACCTTTATTCTTTTATGACTCGTGGACTTCAATTCCCAGAATTCCTGAGCCAGGAATTCTGGGAATTGAAGTCCACGAGTCATAAAAGAACCAAGGTTGACTACCCCTGGGCTAATGTGATCCTTCCCAACCTGGGCTTCTCCTTATCAACCTCTTGGGTTACCTCGTTTTGTAAAGAATTAAGTAGCACACAGTTTCGCAGTTGGGAGACCAAAGCATGGACTAACCCAGGGGTAGGCAACCTTGGCTCTTTTATGACTCGTGGACCTCAACTCCCAGAATTCCTGAGCCAGCCACGCTGAGGGGAAAGGGAGAGGTTTCCAAGCTGAGCCATGCTGGCTCAGGAATTATGGGAGTTTGAAGTCCACGAGTCATAAAAGAGCCAAGGTGGCCTACCCCTGGACTAACCTAACACTAATCATGAATTGAAACTGTCCAGGCACATGAAACCTTGGCTTTTAACAAGTGCAACAAACCTGGATGATTAAGGCGTGTTATTTCTATCGAGAGAACTATAAAAATGGGAGGCGGTCCTCTCTCAGCAAACTGGTTTTATTTAAATAGAATAGAATAGAAGTAGAATAGAATAGAATAGAATAGAATAGAATAGAATAGAATAGAATAGAATAGAATAGAATAGAATAGTTGGAAGGGACCTTGGAGGTCTTCTAGTCCAGCCCCCTGCTCAGGCAGGAAACTCTGTGTACCATTTCAGACAAATCGTTGTCCAGTCTCTTCTTTAAAACTTCCAGTGTTGGAGCATTCACAACTTCAGGAGGCACGTTGTTCCATTGATTAATTGTTCTGACTGTCAGGAAATTTCTCCTTAGTTCTAGGTTGCTTCTCTCTTTGGTTAGTTTCCATCTGTTGCTTCTTGTCCTGCCTTCAGGTGCTTTGGAGAATAGCTTGACTCCCTCTTCTTTGTGGTCACCCTTGAGATATTGTAACCCTGCTATCATGTTACCCCTCGTCCATCTCTTCGTCAAACTAGATGTATCTAATTCCAGCAACTGTTCTTTATATGTTTTAGCCTCAAGTCCCCCCAATCATCTTTACTGCTCATTCATACATATACATACATAAATACAGGTAGTCCTTGATTTACAACTCTTCGTTTAGTGACCGTTGAAAATTACAGCAGCACTGAAAAAAGTAGCACATGACTGTTTTCCGCCCTTAACGACTGTTGCAAGATCACGTGATCAAAATTCAGACACTTGGCAACTGGCATGTATTTATGATGGTTGCAGTGTTCCAGGGGCACATGATCATCATCTTTTGCAACCCTCTGATAGGCAGAGTGGGAAAGCCGGATTCACTTACAACAGGGTTACTAAGTTAACTGCAGTGATTCACTTAACTGAAGCAAGGAAGGTCATAAAATGGAGAGAAGCAACCTACAACTAAGGAGAAATTTCCTGAAAATGAGAACAATTAACCAGTGGAACAACCTGCCTCCCGAAGTTGTGGATGCTCCAACACTGGAAGTTGTTAGGAAGTGATTGGACAACCATTTGTATGAAATGGTATAGGGTTTCCTGCCTGAGCAGGGGGTTGGACTGGAAGACTTCCAAGGTCCCTTCCAACTCTGTTATTCTGTAAAATGGGACAAAAGTGTCTCACTTAGCAACAGAAATTTGGGCTTAATTATGGTCGTACGTTGAGGACTAGCTGTACACGCGTGCATGCATGCATGCATTCCACAGCAGTTAATGTTTGAAGATTGTGCAGCGATTGCTGTGACCCTGGAAGGACCCTGGCTAGGGTTGATGGCCAAGGGATCTTGGTTGACCCCGGGAAGGCAACCATTGCAGCTATTACTCCTTTGAAGAGGCGGGGGTGGGTAGGTGGTAGGTGAGTTGGTTGCCATGGAAATGGGTTTGTCCAGCCCCCCTCCCCCTTTTCGGAAGCAGCAGTCCAAAGTCCCTTCAACGTGTGTGTGTGTCGTGTCGGTCTTGAACTGACCCTCAAGGATGATGCCCCCTTGTTCTCTCCACAGATGGCTTGGTTGGCATGGCGATCGTCGGCGGCATGGCGTTGGGAGCGGCCAGTCTGGCGGGCCTGATCGGCTTGGCCATTGCCAAATCCAAATCCTAAGACGGATAGGGTAGGGTAGGCCTCCCTTCTCTTCCTCTGGTGGAGCAGCCTGGCCTGGCAGCTGGAAGACTAACCCTTCAGAGAAGCGGAGAGGATGATTCAAAACACTTTGTTTTCTTCAAACGTCACTAACCTGACTGTAATTCCTGGATTTTGGCTCTCTTTTCTCCTGCTGATCAGCTGCCATGCTCGGGAGGGCAAAGGGCGATGTTAATGCAGAATTTGCCCAGAGAATGAGGGTGCCCTGGGACTATAATCCAATTTTCCTCTTGTGTTAATCCAATTTGAGGTCCTTTCTGCTGTCTCTCCTCCACTGGTACAAGAAGATGTACTAAGTCCTTCTCTCTCTCTCTGCCTTTCACTTGTCCCAAAAGTTTGGAAGTCTCTTCTGCTGAAGTACAGGGGCAAAAACCGAACCCACTTGGTGTCCCGTCTGGAGAAACCAGGATGTTTTTCTGCCTTTCAGATGAAGCTTTGACCAACTGCTGGAAACGAGACAGCCTTCTGAAAAGGAAAAAAAGAAAAAAAAGCAGCAAGTTTTCCCAGGCAGAATATTTCCTTCGCTTGCGAACTGATTTTTCCCTCTGCTTCTGGACTTGTTCTTCACCTGTATCACAGTGTGTGTAGTCAGGATGAATCCATTGTCAACACTAGATTTTTTTTTTTTTAATTTTTCTCTTAATGCTTAGCCGAGTAGGCTCCTGTGTTCTTTCAGTTTCTTAAAAAAAAAATCATTTTTGTGAAGGTAAAGGGGCTGGGTAACATCAGCAAGAGGTCCGCCTGTTTTGGCCTCTGATGGTGGACCTCTAAATGTGTAGATTTGGTAGTGTGTGACCGGCCCATTCCAAGCCACTCCATCTCTTGCTGAACTACAATACCCAAAATTCTTCACTCATGACCATGTCATCTAGACCTGCTTAGATCTGGAGCTCACAAGTTAGCTAGTTTGAGTAAGTCATCGGTCTATATCTGAGATGGGGAAGCGTGGCCCCTTCATGATTTGTGGACTTCAACTCCCAGAATTCCTGAGCCAGCCATGCTGGCTCAGGAATTCTGGGAGTTGAAATCCACAAGTCATACAAGGGCCAAGGTTCTCCACCCCTGGTTTATATGACGGCAGAGATATTGTTGCACTGTCATGGGTATTGAACGGTTCACACCATTGGAAAACTTTGTTCCACTTTTTTTCCCCCCTCTTATGAATGAGGCATTTGTATTGTTCTCTAGCCTCTGGGTGGCATGAAGGAAGAATAAAATTAATTGGAAGAATGATGTCATTGGTTTCCTTAACTCTTGGTTTCTGCCTTTCAGGAAGGATGAAGGAAGGGCAAGCCACAAATCACGTCATTGTGTGAGAATACTGCAAGTTGCGTACCGCGCTTGCATCAGAGGTCGGGATGCAAATGCATAAACCGTGTTTGCACAGTGACTTGACCCCGAGCCTGGTATCATATTGGCATCCTTTCGGCTTGCCACCCCAAGCAGCCGATGGACTAGGGTCGCTTGCCAAACTACCTGGCTTTTGTGTGTGTGTGTGTGTGTGTGTGTGTGTGTGTGTGTCAAGTGTCCTGAGCTTTCTGGAGCTCACAGATAATATTTCTGTAATGCTGGGCATTTGCCAAGGCCTGCCTGGATAATAACCACCTTTTGGCTCACCTTGTACTCTGATGCACTGGCAGCAGAAAATGGCTTAATTGCTTTGAAGGAACCTATGCCAAGTGCAGCACACAAGCTAAAGCTGATCTTCGAGAAGGTGCAGATGGCCTGTTTCGCAAGCTGTTGGCTGGGGGGGTGGGGGGGTGGAGGCCAGCTGATGCCTGTGAAACAGACTTGCTCACCTCCTAGAACATTCCAGAAATTTTCACGGTAGCTTTTGGACTAAGCATTGGGCGATCCCTATTCCTTGACCGGGTCTATAGAATGACTCTAGCAAGGAAAGTCATTTTGGTGCTTTCTAGTAGTTTGATCTATCTGGCACTTCTTTTTTTCTAGATTTTAAACCTTAGTTCCTAAAGGGCAACAGTTTTTGCTCTCTGGTGGCTAGCAGCCGAGGTGAAGAACGTCCTAAATCAGGGGTCTTCAAACTTGTCCCTTTTATGACTTGTGGACTTCAACTCCCAGAATTCCTCAGCCAGCGCAGCTGGCTGAGGAATTCTGGGAGTTAAAGTCCACAAGTCATAAAAGGGCCAAGTCTGAAGACCCCTGTTCTAAATCAAAGGGTCTGAAGTAGCTGTAGCTCTCATGAAATTCAATATTCTCCCTTTAAAATGATGACTTCCATATGGAACTCAGTCTGGTACAATGGCTAGTCGCAGGGGTAGGCAACCTTGGCTCTTTTATGACTCGTGGACTTCAACTCCCAGAATTCCTGAGCCAGCATGGCTCAGCTTGGAAACCTCTCCCTTTCCCCTCAGCGTGGCTGGCTGAGGAATTCTGGGAGTTGAAGTCCACGAGTCATAAAAGAGCCAAGGTTGCCTACCTCTGGGCTAGTGCCTCACTGAGGAAAGGGCTAAGCTTAAATCTGTGTGGAAGGCTCGCATTTTTTTTTCAAAGAGTGCCCTTTTTTTTTTCTTTTGTGGCACTGTTTTTATGGTTCCTTCAGAAGACTGAAGACTTGACTCTTCCCTCCAGGCACCGGAGCCAGGATGTTAATGGCTCTCTAGAATGGGTGGATGTCAGATCTTGGGAACAAGATTTTTATCAGGGCCTCACCTTGTTTTTTTCTTTGAAGTGATTTTATTTTTAGCCACCACCCAATCTTCCATGGGCCAGATACTGGAGGAGGTCATCGGAAAAAGAAAGAGAAAGAAAGAAAGAAAGAAAGAAAGAAAGAAAGAAAGAAAGAAAGAAAGAAAGAAAGAAAGAAAGAAAGAAAGAAAGAAAGAAAGAAAGAAGAAAGGTGGAGAGGAAGGAAAAAAGGAAAAGAAGGAAAATGGAAAAGAAAGGAAGGAAAAAAAGGGAGAAGCAAGCTTTGGGAAAATAACTTAAAATAATGCTACATGGCAAAATATGCATTGTGTCTTAACTGAGCATGCAAAATTGTACTGTTTGCAGAGGACTGTAATCCTATATATTTATTTACCCAGGGTAGTTTACCTAAAAAGAGCTTTCCAGTCTAGATGTCTACTTAAAAATAAGCCCCATTATTTAAAGCCAGCTTTTGTTGAGCCCAAATGGGTTGGTTTGCTTTGGGTTTTAATGCCCTGTGTCAATCCAACTGTGGTAGTTTAGAAACATTCTTGGTGTGAAAGTGGCCTTTGTGACTTACTCAACAAACCACAACTGAGCGCAGCGTTGGAATCTAGTCCATGGCTATGCCCAAGTCAAACAAACAAAAAAATAGGGTTTGAGATGTTACATAGTTGCTAAGTTGTGGTTTAAGGTGTTTTGAGGACTCAGCCCGTCACAGCGCATAGCTTGATAAGTGAATCTAGTCATGGTGTTAAGTGGGTTAGTGCAAGTGAATATAAAAGTGTGGCGCTTCGTTTTGTACATGTAAAGGAAATGCTGGAGGTGGGAAAAAATGACTTTTTAGTGCCTCTGGAATCCGGGAAGCTATTCACCTCCGTTTTGTTTCCATTTCATGAAATTTTAACCCTTTTCAGTTGCTGTAGAGTCCTGTACCTTTATATAAAGCTTACTATTTTTCTTGATGCCTTATCCACCTTCCCTTGTTCTTTTTTCTTTCTCCACCCACCTTTTTAAAGTTTTTCTTGAAATGTAGGTGGCAGGGGAGAAATTTCTCAGTTCGCCCAGGTTGACTTTTGTTGTTGGATCATCCACATGTTATGCATCCAGATGTGAGTTACTTCCTCTCAACTTCCCCCAATGATTTCTTGTTTCATTTAGTCATAGGTTTTGGCCAATTCTGTATTTTATTTTATTTTGGGGGGTGCTGGGTCAAAGCACTATTTGCTTTCAGTTGAGTAGGTAAAAAGCTTTCCGTGACATCTTTAGAAATGAAAGTGATAATTTCTAGGAAGTAAAATAAAAATAAAAATAGGGTTTATCTATCCCCACCTCCAGTTTACTGGCATTCTGGTTCCTCGGTTGTGTAAGCTACAGAATTTTGATATTTCATGTTCAGCTGTTAGTCTGAGACAAGACTTGGCCAGGCTCCAGTGAAATTATGGGAATTAAATTACTCCTGTTGGTGATGTGAACATTCTCCAGGATGTATCTCTTATTAGCAATATTTTAGAAGGGTAGGTAGCAGGTATGCGGCTATAATACTCAAGTTATGCACGGTATTCATCCCTCAAACTAAAGAGACTCCAAAGAGGCTGTGTGTTGACGCTAAATATATGTATATATATTCTTTATTTGACTGCTTGGGCCCCCCCAATTTGAGAAGAGTGGTAATTTCCAGAAATTGTTGTTGTGCATATTGTTCGATGCACGTGTTTCAGACATTAGACATTCACCTCCCCTATAATTGATGCTTCTCAACTCATCTCTCTAGGTTTTTCACTTTTTCTAAAGTTTTTTTTCTTGCTGCATCTGGAATTGTGATTTCTGATCTTCGCTTGCTCCTTCCAGCTAGTTATCCTGGTTGACACTAAACATACATTTCTCTTCACTTAGTTTATTTTTATATTCAGACTGACGTGGAGAAATTGGAATAAATTAACCTTTGCTCATTAATGGCAACTCTAATTAACATGTAAAGTCTTGTCTCTCCATAACTCTGCCTTTCTTTTGTGGGTCAAAATCCAGCAACTTGTTGGATTCTCCCTTGTTCAAAAAAAAATTGCTACAAAAAGAAATAAAATCCATTGAAATAGGAAATATCTGAACCTGCTCTCTAGTCTTTCCTTCTAGCTGTACCTTCAGTTTATTATATATATATATTTAAAATATGTCATATCTTTGATCAAGTTGTTAAGCCAAAGAGAATAACTTTATTTAAGTTTATTAAGGGGTCTTCCTTCTGAGGCTGAGAGAGCCAGGAATTGCTATCAAGAATTATAATCAGTAACACCATCCTAATGTTAAACACATGGACTCAGTTTTATATGATGTTGTAACTAACCATGGTTTGTTCAATAAACAGTTGGCATAAACAGTGTTTTAGTTATAGTGGCTGGGATCAGTTCTAAGCTGAGATGGATGAATCCAGCTGTTTATAAACTCGATTTATAAACCATTTATGGCTTAGTGTGTTGTCTGAATCCAGCTACTGAAGCTTATCCTACAAACTCGCGTTCAGCAAACAGGCTGAGGGTGGTGCTAATTTAATAATAAGAATTTTTTTAACTTTGTATGTTAGGATTGATGTATATTTTCTCAAGATTCACGTATGTGTATCTGCATTTGGAACGTGATCAAAAACCATAAACTCCATTATCTTTTCCTTTCTGAAACAACTGTATTTTTTTTCCTCTTTAAACGCAGATGCTCAGATTTCTCTCTGGTCTTATAGGAGCATTTTCTATTCCTCTCTTGTTCTTAAAATTCTAGTCCTCGACTTACAGCAGTTCATGTAGTGACCGTTCGAAGTTACAGCGTCCCTGGAAAAAAGTGACTTATGATCGTTTTTCACACTTGGGACCGTTGCAGCTTCCCCAGAGTGATGTGATCAAAATTTGGATGCTTGGCAACTGACTCGTAATTATGACAGTCACAGTGTCCCGGGGTCATGTGATCCCCTTTTGCCACCTTCTGACAAGCAAAGTCAATGGGGGAATTCAGATTCACTTGGCAACCGCTGGGCAACAAGTGCAGTGAT